ATTTTTTGATTAAACACAATTTGTACAATATGACATGGTCAGACTTATTAAAAAATCTGGGGTTTTGCGGCTATTACTAGCTGGTGTATATAGTACACCGTGCTCGTATTTATGATTCAAGATAGGGCGCCCGTAGTTAAAGGTTAAACAGGGTTCCGTTAGGGACCATGTATGTTTTCAATTTCGAAACACAATTTATACTCAACAAATGGACCTGTGTATGTTAAATACGTCATGCGCAGTATGACATATCAGATCATTTTGTTATTTGATCACCGGTGATACATGCGGTATATGAGTGATCCATTACATGCTCACACATGTACCACACTTGTAACTTGATTGTTTTTGAGTTAGAGTTACTTTGTGACTGATGTCAGTGAATTTAGTTTCGCTTAAGGGTACTTTACTTCAACTTCAATGAAATTGTGTTCGATCACATTCAAAAACGTCCATGCCTACTGACTGCCATGGTAGAAACGGTGTTTTCCTCAAAATCAGTTGTTTTCTCTAATCTCGCTATATCCTGGTTTATTCCAAACCAATACATAGATCCTTCTGCTCTACTTTTATTTCTTACTACGCCTGGGTGACCCGTGTGTAGCTTTTCTAGCATAATCTTTTTTAGAACTTCAGGTACAAATATTCGATTATTTACCAACATTATATTATCGCTTATCGTCAGCTCATGTCCTAAATGATGTTATCTCTTAACCTCATCTTTTGCTGGCTGATTTGGAAGTTCCACAACGTTTGGAGTCTCTGGAATCGTGATGTTCGGAGATGTTTGATTTGAACCCTGGAATCCCGTTTTTAAAAGCTGATCAATGTGTCTTCGGTGGATTTCCCCATCCACATCTTTTTCATAGTGTAGTTGACCATCTCGCTGATCCTTCCCGATTTCCATTTCATATCCGGATTGTTAGAAAATCGTGTAAGTACTTGGTCTCCTTCTTCAAATTGTCTAACCTTGGTTTTCTCTATTTACTAATAAAACCAAATAGTAACATCTAACTTACTTTTATTAATTTATATCGGTACCGGTTTCGGAAATAAATCTCCATCATCAGCCGAAAGCCACACACAAAAAATTACAATTCTAAAAAATCTCCAAATAACGCAAAAGCCAAAACTGTCTATAATCGAAGCTGACGTAGACTAGAACAATCTTGAAAGATTTGAGAAAACGAGGAAATTAACATGAAAAATTTTAATATTAAATATTTGAAATGTGAAATTTAGAAATCTGAAAATTGAATATAAAATTTATAAATTTATTAAGTTCGAAAAATATGTATCTAAAGTTTCAAAGTAAAACAAAGACCAAACATTTTTTACAAATGGATGTGCGAAAACATGGTATGTCGTAAAATTCTTTTATAAAATGATCCGTAACTAAAATAAATACACATCAGCATAATTTAAAGCGAACAAACTTACCAAGTAAAACAAATGGTCACAAATACAAATAAATGGTCTAATTTACTAAGTCCAATCAATTAGAAGGTATTAAAGGGAAAATTGTGAATATTAAAAAACAATAAAATGCTTATTATTACTAAGTCCAATCGTGTTATAAATTGGCCTTATAACATTAATGCTGCCGGACTTTGCCATGTTGTATTTGGCAGTTTCCAATATTGCATCAACAATCTGCATAATTTTTAAGCTTTTCGATCTACCTCTCTGCTTGGCCATTTGTTGCCGGATGGTATGGTGCAGAAAATTTGTACTTTATGCCATTTGATATCATGAAGTTTTCAACTTCTTGGGATCTAAAATTTGTACCATTGTCACTTACCAACGTAACTGATCTATTTATCGCAATAAGCGATATCTTCCAAGATTATGGCTAATGATTATGGTAATTTTAAATAAATAATTATGGCTACCAAAAAAGTAATACGAAATGACGTTCTAATAAAACTGAACAAATGAGCATATTTGAATTATGTAACGGATCGACAGTCACAAGGAAGGAAATAGACACAAAAGAGTGCAACAAAAGATAGATGAAAGGCAGACTAGAGAAGACTTCTTGTTTCTTGTCATATCCTTTCCTGAGTAACTTTCAATACATAAAATTGTTTCAAGTAAAATACTGTCTCCTCTGTCAGATCACCATTGTTCGTATCCTCCTCGAAATCAGCATTAGCATTATACTTGCTGTTCCTATAAACAATATCATATTTAAAGCCCTCCATAAAACTTGAGTAATGCGAAAGTCTGATTGCCGAAGTTGCTGGAAGATTCTTCTCTTGATGTAATATTCTCGTCAATGGCTTGTGATCAGTGACTAATGTAATTCTTCTACCATAGTAATACTGAAAAAACTTCTTCAACCCCCATATAATCGCTGTCGCCTCCTTGTCAATTTGACTGCAATTTTTTTTCCGCTTTTGTGAGTGACCTCGACGCAAAAGCGATTGGCCTTTCATCGCCATTCATTGTGATGCGTGAAATCACCGCTCCTAACCCGGTAGGTGATGCATCTGTCGCAAGTACTAATTTTAATTTAGGATTGTAAGCTATAAGTACTTTTGAACAGCTTATTTCTTGTATTAGATTTTCAAAAACTTCCTCGCATTCCTTTGACCAACAAAGTTTTGTATCTTTTTTCAGCAGATTATTTATGAGATGTAGCTTTGATGCAAGCAATAGTTTATTATTTCCAAAAATACTCTTACCTCATCGACATTTTTCGGTTTTGGATAGTTGATTATCGCTTGTATTTTGTCTTTTAGTGGGTGTAAACTTTTTTCATCAATTTTATGACCCAGGTAAGTAACTGGGAAGTTTGATAAAAACTGACATTTATTCTTTGTTAGGTGTAGATCATTTTTTAGCAGGCGAATGAAAACTTGCTTCAGTCATTTTAGTAGTTCCTTGTACTACAATATCATCGAAGAAGCAAGCAACTCCATCCAGATCTGTCAGCACCTGATCCATAAATCTTTGCCAGATGTTTGGTGCTATTTTGGTACCAGACATCTCTTTACCAAATAATTTCCTTTATGTGTAGTAATAGTTTGTAATTTCGAACTGTCTTCGTTTACCATCATTTTCTAAAAATGTCTATCACCCCCTAGTTTGGAAAATAGGTCGTCTATTCTCGGCATCGGGCAGATAACCTTGTATCCCCATTTGATTTAGTCACTGATACTATCGGACTTCCCCATTCCGAATAAGTTGTCTTCCCTATAACTTCCTTTTTCTCCAATCGGTATCCAATATGTGGAATAAAAATTGGCGTAGTTGAGTCTTTTAGTTGTAATGAGCATGTAGTATTTGAAATTTTTCCCAATGTTTTGAACTTTAGTAGTAATTTTTCTAGCTCGTCTTTGTAACTTATTCCTTCCTCCATGTTGATTTTATTTATTTGGCTTCAATCTATTCTTATTTTGCTTAACCAGTTACCACCTAGGATTGTGTCAACATATTCCTCAAAGATATAAAGTGTTCTTCTTCAACATATTCCTTCAAAAATGGCGTACAATTTTGGTTTAAATTTTTTGTCTCGAAAACCATAAACACCAGGAAAATGAAAAATCTTAGTAGGCTTTACATTTTTTTTAGAATTTAAAGTTTTGTAATTCAGATACATCCTGTATACCTGTAATAATTTCATATTTTAATTTTTAATGTTTTTATTTGCTATCAATAAATTGTAATGCATTGTTTGTTGGTATGCAACATTTTTGTGTGCTCTTGTCATCGTTACTATTTGTATTTTGTTATTACGTTCATTGTCTGTGTTAGAAGATGTGGGTGTAACGCGACAAAGCGACTTAAGTCCAAAAGCAAATAAGCTGTGCAGAAAGACAATTGTGTTGAGGAAATCAGTAAGAAGATTAAAGAGTACTAATCTCAAACAGAAAAGAAAAATCCATTCTTTTACAAAAAGAGAACTAATAGAACGTGAAACAGCGAATTTGAATCCGTATGTGGCTGAATTTATGAAAAGCCAAGCTGGACGACATCCCCAGGGGACAAGGTACACATTAAATGATAAATGTCTAGGACCGACACTACAGAAATCAAGTCCGCAATTATACCGGTTACTCTCAAGATTATTTAATTTGCCAAACAGAAAAACAATAGGTGTTTGCTTGACTGTATTCCATTAAATGTGGGAGTAAATAACCATATTATAGAGAAATTAAATGAGGCACTTGTATCTTGCACAGCCAACGAAAAACTATGTATTCTACTTTTTGATGAAATGGCTCTACAGCCTCATATTTCATTTCATAGAAGTACTATGAGTTTCGAAGGCTTTGAAGATTTGAGCGATACAGCATCGGACAAAATTGCTGACCACGCGATTGTGTTTATACTGAGAGGGGTAACCAGGAACTGGAAGCAGCCAATAGCGTACGGCTTCATAAAAGGCTCAATAAACCATAGATTTTGTACGAATAATTAATAAATTATTCGAAAGTGCGCTGCAATTGGTTTGAAGATTATCGGCACTGTAAGTGATCAAGGGCCATCAAATGTAGCTCCCATCAACTACTTAATGAAAAATTCCATAGATGAAATTGAATATGTGAATCGAAAATGTTACAAAATCGATAACCAATTTTTGTATATTGTTGTTCGATCCACCTCATCTAATAAAAGAAATAAGAAATAACTCATTAAGCAAAAACATGGTATGGAGAGATAATAACATTATTAATCGGGCAAAATGGGACGACATTTATTTCGCATACCTATTAGACAACGCATCGGGAGAGTTGAGATTAATGCCGAACCTAAAGGATCAGCATTGCGATTCAAAAAAAATTCAAGTTGCTAACGCCACGCAAATCTTTAGCCATACGATAGCAGCAGTCATTAATGCGTTGGTCAAATCAGGTAATGTAATATTGTTATTGTGTATAATGACTATTTCATTCAGTGATAATTTTATTCGACCAATATTATAATCTCATTTAACAATTAATCTAAGTTTTTTAAAGATTTTAACGTTTTGGTATCAAATAATAATTGAATTGTTTAAGTCGTTCTTGGTTTCTTTATTCGTGAAATAGTCATCCAAATACTATTCGTGGTAAAATTTTATTGTGGCAAAATTTTTAAATTGATTTGCACGATTTTGTTGCCAAGTTAACTCGTCACTCTACAAATTGCTACGTAACAAACACTGGTAACAATAAATGATCGAATTTGAATTCGGTTAATATTCATGTACCTCCCCGTTTACTTCGCTTTCATTTTTTGTTCTATACGCTTATTCCACGCACCAATGCTTTTCGGAATTCTCCTATGTTGCGAATAACTCGCCAAACTGACAAACTTGATATCGATTTGTTTCAGCACTTATTTATTACATTTAGGCCCGTTACTACCAAACCGTTGGCATCTATTAGATAAGCTAGCTATAAGATACCGCTAAACTAATAGTTTACCGAGTCGGCGGTCCTACCACCTCAGGTTATCTCACAGGTAGGAAATCCTTAAGATATCTAAAGAATCTAGTGATTTTATTTCTGGTGAATTTTTAAGTTGGCAACCATACAGTAAAAAGGCCTAATATCTTGACATTTCTAGTTTATTTTAACTCATTTCCGCTCATTCTAACCTCAAACGTCGTCATAAATGGCACGTGTTTCAGTGATTATTATTTTGTTGAAGATGGAAAACGACAATAAAAAAAACGTAACGCAAATTATTCCAAACAAGAAATGGAACTGCTAATTGATTTGATTATAGAAAAAAAAACATAATAGAAAATAAAAAAAGTGACGCCGTTCACTGGCAGGAAAAGCATCAAGTACGTACATAATTTTATTTAGTAATATGGAATAATGCTTCTACATCCGCTGTATTGCGATATATAAAAAAATGTTTTTTGGTTATTTTAGACATGGAGTGAAATAGCTCGGGCTATGACAGCCACTACCGGTATTGAGCGGGATGTAAAAAGTGTGAAAGGGAAGTATGATCAGATAAAAAAAGAATTCTAAGATACGCATAAACACAATGAAGACCGATCCTGTAGAAGTTGTCTCATTAACCCCTATTGAGGAAAAAGTGAAAGGTAAATTTACGTTCGAATGATGTTAAAGTAAGTAAAAATGTTTATGCTTTAGGCCTCATACTATTATCAGTTGTTGGAATGCCATCAACATACGATTCAGATGTAATCACACATTCTGATTCTATGTATTTGTTTATCCATATCACCGTTGTAGAATTAAGGTAAATATTAATTAAAATTATATACTATGGTGATTATTTATATATGTCTTACTATTACTTACAATTGTTCATAACCTAGAAATAACTCATTTACCCAACTTGTCACACATATAATAGTTGGCGAGTTTATTTATTAATATTAGTTTTTGTGATAGATAGTTGTAGTTTAGTGCATGAATAGATATAATAATAAACAAACATTCACTTCCCAACGTTTATAGAAACTAGTTAAGGTAAGTGTTTTTTACAATTAATAGTCCCTCTTTTGTTAACCTATAAAATATAATTATGAATAATTTTTATACTTACCTTTGTAGAGGTCTCTGAAGACGGTAATGTAACCGAAACTAGTAAGACAAATATATAAATAATCACCATAGTATATAATTTTAATTAATATTTACCTTAATTACATTCTGATTCCTTATTAACTGTGTTGGCGGTTACTGATGTACAAGCAACAACTTCTATATCAGGCGCCTCTCACCTATTCAGAACGTTGTATTGGCTTCTACATCAGTAGATGCCAGAATACGTTAGTCGGAAGCAGAATGTGTGATTGAATGGAGCGCAACTGATGTCATTCGAACCGCTGGTGTAGAAGAGACACCACAAGTAGAAGATAAAGAAAATTGGTCCTCTTAGACACCTCAAAATTTAAAAAAGAGGAAAGCAAAAGTTTTGAATTCAGCTTCTAAACCAAGTAATTTATTCAATTATGTGTTAAATCATTTTAATGCTTTATATTTATTAATAGAAACAGCCAATAAAAGAATTCACAATGAATTCAACAAGCTCACAGAAAAACGTGAGGAATTGACGGAGTTGCTAATAAAGCAAGCTAAAGAAGAGCACGCCAAAAAAATGGAGCTCTTGGATCTTGAAATATTACTAAACAAGAAAGAGGCAGGCTTATTATGAAGATAGATTTATGAGATAATATTCTTAATCTTTAAAAAATAATAATAAATATTCTTTTCTTAAAACAAATTATTTTATTGTAAATTTGCAAAATAATCCATAATTTCGTTCCTCTGCCGGAAGATGATTATCCCATTCTTCAATCTCCTCCTCATTGGGTCGTAGATCGTCTTTCATATTAATACACATGTTGTGTATTACCGCTGTAGCGACAATTATGCGGCCCATACACACGCAGGTAAGTGTTAGCACTTGCCTGCACAGGTCGTAACTCGCGAGTAAGTGCGTAAGTGTAGGACCTAAAACTGAGAGCGCGTTCAGTTCCGGGCGCGGCTCGAAATAAATCAGATGGGGTTTGATTTTTCGTGCAAGTCCGAAGGTAAGTATGAATGTGTATGTTAATTATAAGTTTTCTCAACATGTCGCGAAATACATCAAAAAAATATGAGGAGGTTATGAGAGAGTTCATTGACATCTATAAAGAAAATGAATGTATATGAAAATTAAAATCTAAAGATTATACAAATAAAAGCTTAAAAGAAGAAGCTCACAAGAAATTAGTAGAAAAATTAACTGAAGTTGACTCAAACGCAAAAAAAGAAGATGTTATAAAAAAAATAAATTCTTTACTTAGTTGCTTTAGAAAAGAATTTAAGAAAGTTACCGATTCAAAAAAATCTCGGTCTGGTTTTGAACAGGTATATAAGCCAAATCTTTGGTATTACGAGCTCTTATTGTTTTTAAAAGATCAAGAAATCCCAAGGGAATCGGTAGGATTTGATACACCACACTTTTTTGAGGACACTAGTGACGTAAGTTTTGTTTTTCGGTTATATGAAGGTGCTAATGTTTGTTTTTTTTTAGGGTAAATCAGATGGGAATTGTGATGATCCACAAACACCTAAGTCCGTATCTTCTTGCCATTCATCAATATCTTCCGTTAAAAGAAGAAGAAATGCTAAAGAAAACGACAATACGGAATCGCTAATAACATTAGTAACCGAAAAGCTTAAAAAAACCGAAGAAGACGAATTTGACATAATTGGCAAAAACGTTGCTGAAAAATTGAGGAAACTTCCTACTAATATGAAGTTATTTTCAGAAAAAATAATAAACGATTGTCTTTTTGAGGCACAATTAGGCACCTTAAACCGGCATGCATATATAGAAATCCCACAACAAGCACAATCATACATTTGTCCAAGCGAAAATTTTACATTAACGGTAACTCATTAAATTTTGAAATATTATATTAAAATTACACGATTTATCATTTCAGAATTTACAACAGCAAAGACAAACCTCTGATGTAACTAATTATATAAATAATTTTCAAGGTTAATACTCAAAGTGTTAAAGGTTTAGTACTTCTGTTTATTTGTTATTATTAAACATTTTTTGTTACACAATATGTTACATTACATAAATAAAAGGAGTGTTTTTGTAAGTTTTTAAAAAATAAACCAATTTATTCATTACTCTTTGATTTAATAAAAAAAATAGTAAGCTATAAGCAAAAGTACTATCAGTACAATATTCTGGATGGGTTGCACCAACATTTTTAAGAAACATTTTTTATATTTTAATTCAGTTCAAAAAGTTTACACACTTGACAAAGTAGGATTAATTTTATAAAAAGGGAATATTTATGTTTATTTTATAGCCTTTTCTTGCCACGAAACTTTTCCATCAGTTATAAAATATTCCAAAAATGCGTTCCTAACTTCTTTGCCTTGGTCCGAAGCATGCCTATTTTGTCCTCGTTTTAAATTTGTAAATCCATGTTCTTCTTCATAAATNCTGGATTTCGACATTTTTAGAAAGACAACTACGACTGATACTATCATCCCCTCCAACTCATATAACTGCTCACAACACAAAAAAGCTAGTATGCGATTCTTTTTGGACAGACTGGAACATGTTCCCCTTAATGAGTTGGACTTCGCTAAGGAGATCAGAAGGATTGTTGCTATCGGCTTAAACAACGGCTACACTATTCAACATATGCAGGATATTTACAATAAGACACACTCTTCACACATTAATAGAATTATTTTTCCCAATTGCAGACAGAGGCCTAGATTCATAAAATTACCTTTCATACCATCTGCTCAATTTAAGATGAAACTCAACCTACAGAAGTTTGATATCTCCCCGGCCTTTATTTCAAATAACAAATTAAGTTCTTACCTTATTAACAACAAACATAAATTTAACAAAGAAGAGTTGGGCGGTGTTTATAAGATAAATTGCGAGAACTGCGACAAATTTTACATAGGCCAAACAGGGAGAAACCTAAAAACCCGCCTTAAGGAACATAAAATTAAAAATACATCGGCAGTTTTCAAACATTTAAACGAATTCAAACATAACATAAATCTAAACAACATCACTCTTCTAAAAAACTTAAAGAAATCCAAGGAACTAGACTTCTATGAAGAGTTCTACATATCTAAACACTTGAATGATAATAAAGATCTAATATTGAATGATATCATAGACGTTAACCCGCAAAGACATTTTTTGAAATTTATGTGAATATTGGAATCTACGTTAAAAATCTCCCGTCCTTCTTCCTCTTGACTGCCGCCTTTCTCGACCTGTAATTTACGCTTGCGCCACTCTAAGCCCTGATTTTGTTCAACAAACACCGGATTATTTCCTCTGAATCCTCTTTTAGTACGGACTGTGGACACCTAGTTTTGTACTCAAGCTCTTACTTCTGGAAAATTATATTAATTGTAAGTTTTTTGTAACATTTTAATTACGTTCTAACATCTATAACATAATTTTAGTTTAATAAAGAATTTAGTCAACAATTCGCCGACGAAGCGTATATTCTCATACAATATAATAAAAAATATATGTAAACAACCGGTTTTTCGTTATAACGGACAAATGTTTCTTAGTTTGAATTCTCGTTGAAATTTGTAAGTTTTTGTTGTTTGCCCTTTAATTTTAATTTTGATTTTTCGTTTTATCTTTGTTTAAGAACTTGGTTTGAAAAATTGACCTTTTCTCGTGGATGAGACTGATATAAATCTTGTTTCCATGCAGTTCTAAAAGTATAACCCGATACATGTTAACCATTTTGTTGTCATTTGACTGTAAAGAGTTTAAGGAAACTGTATAACATTGCCTACATGTAGATCTCACAAGGTCCCCACATTTCTGACGGTAATGTTCCTTTATTTTACTTTAGTTTTATGTTCATCACTGACCTTTTCTTTTCTTTACGGTTTTAGTCGTGCCTGAAGAAGACAGCTAGGCTGTCGAAACATTTGTAGCACCAATTGCGAATAATAAAATTATATCATCGTTAACCTAAACATCTTTTTATCTTAGCAATATACATGAACGATTATTTCAGTATAAGGAAATGGTGCACCTTTCAACTGAAATTCTTAATTCCCACCGCAGCACTTGGAATCTTCTTTTCTATGTGCCATATTGGCATTCAACAACATTTCTCGTTCTAATTTGAGACTCATTGTAGAGTCTTTCCGCTTCCCGCTGTGGTTGGTCTATCGGTACAAACAAATAATTCCTACGGCAATATAAATAAACAAAAACATGTATTACAACATTTTGTATTTTATTACTTGTTTTGGTATCCACCATCTTCTAATAAAAATAAACTGGCCAATTTCTAAACGGTGTTTAAGGCAACTATTATTAAAAATTGTTTGATCATGCGTTGATCCTGGCCACCTGGCTACAATATCTAAAATACGCATATTGGCATTCGACACAGTTTGCACATTAATGGAAAAATAACCTTTTCAATTTTTAAAATTTTCTGCAAATGCTCCACCTACAATATTAATTATGTTGACGTTGTTTACTTACAATAAAAATCAAAAGTTAATATTGACATACCTGGGGATTAAATAGGTACAATCAATTGCTCCAATCACACACGGAAATCGTGCAATATCATAAAATTCCCTTTGGACAGTGTTCAAAATGTTTATTAATTTTCATTCAATTTTATTTTATTCCATTTTGATATTTGTTAATTTCAAATCAGTTTCGTATTTTTCCGTAAACGACCGAACGCTTTGGTTTTGTTTTTTTTTTTTTTTTGAAAAAGAGGTTTTGTCTCGTGGTCTCGAAGACATAACGTGGTTTGATTCTCTCAAATGTAGATGTTTTATTTCTTCTCCTTATTCAGTTTTAACTTCAAGTAAAACATAATCTAATAGTGTTTCAACAAATGGGAAGTAAGACAATTTTCTTTTAATTCAATTATTTCAAACAATTCATTGTCATTCGATTAATTTAATTAAGTGAATTTTCAAATTCTTACAAAACTTCAATTTCTTAAACATAAATTATTGGTCCTTCGAGCCGGATAAATCGAATTTCGATCGTTCGAGTGCGTTACGCGTGTACATTTATTTCGTGTCCTTGAACATTTGGAGTAACTAAAAAAAAAAAATGTCAAAAACCGGAGCTCCACCCGCAACAGCTGCAGATCTTAATCCGATTTTTAATCGACAAAATGAACTTTACGGTTTAATTTCTCGTTCGTTAGATAATCTTCGAAAACTCGCTTTTGTAAAAAGAACACGCGGAAATGTTCAAAGTCGCTTAGACCGTTTGGAAGCGAATTGGGAAGAATTCAACATATTTCATAAAAAATTATCGAAATATAGTGCTAATTACGCAGATGCAAATTATATTTCTGAAAATATATATTTCAAATGCGAAGAAGAGTATCATGATGCAAAGGGAGCCATGTTAGATTTGTTAAATGAAACACCGGTATCGCAAGTTCAAATTCCAGCTCAAACAGTCGTTAAATCTCAAAATCGACATCTTCCTCGCATAAATCTACCAAAATTTAACGGAAAATATTCAAATTGGTCCCAATTTAAAGATTTGTTCATACCAATGCTCCATAAGAATGAAGACATTTCTGATGCAAAAAAACTACATTATTTAAAAATGAGCCTATCCGATGAACCATCTCAATTATTGAAAAATCTAACGGTAACCAATGAAAATTTTGAGCGTGCATGGAAGATGCTTATAAATCGTTACGAGAATTAAAGATTACTCATTGATCCGCAATTAAATAATTTATTTACATCTCGTCCGTTAAAAAACGATTCTTCAGTTGAATTAAAGCGACTATTAGGGGAAATTAAAAAGTCTCTAGGCGCTTTAGATACGTTAGGATGTCCCATTGACAAGTAGGATAATATTCTTGTTTATCTAGTTGTTCGAAAACTTGATGTTGAATCTATCAAAGGCTGGGAAAAATCTTTAGCCAACAAGCAAAATCCTCCTTCATTTGATGATCTCAAATCATTTCTCTTGGGACGAATTCATGCCGTAGAAGCAATAGAACAAGTAGCTACTCGTAAAATGAATACTTCGACGTTCAACAAACCTTCAAATGTAAAATCTCTTAATGCGTCACCTTCGTCCAACAACTGCAGTCTTTGTCAAGATTCTCATTATATCTCATCATGCCAACAATACTTGAAAAAATCTCCCAATCAACGTTCAGATTTTGTTGCGTCCAAGAACCTCTGCTTCAATTGTCTTAGACCACACTTTCGAAAAAACTGTAGAATTACTAAGAGATGCCGAATCTGTCAAAAGCAACACCATACCTCCTTACATGATGCTAAACCATCAATGAGTACCATCCATTCACCATCTCAAAAAGAATCGAACACTCAACATACAACTCCACTTCAAGCAAATACTCCTCCTTGCATGCCAATCGCATCAACTTCCAGCCATCTCATTCTCTGGTTGGAATAATTTCTCATTTCGGCGAACGTCGTCTCGTAAGGGCCTCATTGACCAGGGGTCTGAAGTATCGTTCATTTCTGAAAGCTTAGTACAACAATTGAAGTTATCTCGACATTCTCAAAGTATACCTATTGCTGGAATCGGATCTCAACAGACCAGTATTTCTAATGGAACTGTGAAAATTCAATTATTTTCAAGAATTAACGAATCTCTTACATTTGCTGAAAATGCACTGATTTTACCAAAGTTGACCGCATACCTTCCACCGAAACGTCCTACAACGCTAGAATTCGATTTTAGTGATATTATGTTAGCTGATCCAGATTTTACTTCATCAAAGACAATTGATTTGATCCTCGGAGTGAGTATCTATTCTCAGATCATTCAAAACGAAATTCGTAAAAGTTATGATGATTGTTTACTCGCTCAAAAAACCTCTTTGGGATGGATATTATCAGGAATTCTGTCCTCATCTTCCAAATCGATATCGCATTATGGATTCCAATGTTCTATAGATTATGAATTTCTTGAACTCATGCAAAAATTTTGGAAACAGGAAGAAAATTCATCGATTTTACCTCGTCTTACACATGAAGAACATAAATGCGAAGAACATTTTGTGAACACACATTCTCGAGATAGCAATGGACGATTCATGATCCGACTTTCATGCTGTACATCGCCCGCAAAATTGGGAAATTCATATTCCGCTGCTTCTCGAATGTTCAGTAAATTAGAATTACGTTTCGCGAAGAATGAAAGTTTTAAAAGGGAATACGTTAAATTCATGAACGAAAATTTCGTACTAAATCATATGCGCCCAGTTTCTACACCCTCCTTCGATTCACTACATTATTATCTTCCACACCATAGTGTAATTCGAGAAAGTAGCACAACGACAAAACTAAGAGTTGTATTCAATGGATCCCAGAAAACAAAAATGATTGTTTATCTACCGGACCAAAACGTCAAAACGAACTAGTCGATGTTCTGCTTCGTTGGAGACGATATCCAATTGTCTTTGCATGTGATTTGGAGAAAATGTACAGGCAAATTCAAATTCATAAAGACGATCAGCCTTTTCAACAAATCGTGTGGAGAGAAGATCCCTCTCATTCAATTCAAACATTCCAGCTCTCCACCGTTACTTATGGCCTTTCTAGTGCTCCATATTTAGCTATTAGAAGCTCATTAACGAAAATTCACAAAATATTCCAATGGGTTCTGAGATTCTTTGCTTAAATACTTATGTAGATGACATATTTTCAGGAGTTAACGACATCGATGAAGTTCAGGAAATGATTTTTCAGCTGAACAAAGTTTTAGAAGCTGGCTGTTTTACCGCAAGGAAATGGGTTTCTAATAACTCCAAAGCTCTTAATTATTTACATCGCGAATTATTGTCGCAATCGTCTCTTCATTCGGTTGAAGAAGATAACTCTCCACGAACATTGGGTTTACTATGGAATAATTTCGAAGATCAATTTCTACTATTCATTTGCGTTACATTCCATTCAAAACGTGAAGTTTTATCGTTTATTGCGAGATTATTCGATCCCTAGGATGGTTTTCTCCATTAAACAATGGAGAAAGCTGTAAATAAGTCTGTTATATTGAATTAATTTACTTTTTATTTACTTTAAAAATTGTTTTTATACAATTTTATTTTATTTGCCTATAATAATTTAACAACTTTTTAAAATCTATTTCAGTTAAGCGGACAACATTAAGCCCAAGGAAAGATTTATCTTCATCCAGTATGGACATGGACCATGATTATGTGGCAGCTTCATCAACTTTTAATTTACCTTCAAAATTGTTTTTATACATTTTTTTTTAAATTTGCATCATAATTTAAGAAGAACTTTTTAAAATAATTATTGTACTATTTTAGTTGAACAAACAACAGTAATGCAAACAGAAGATTTATCTTCAATCCAACTGGACCATGATTATGTGGCAGCTACATCAACCAATACATTAAGTAAGAATTAACCTTCTGTTACAGTTTAAATTTAACACTAAAATTGTTTTTATACATTTTTTTTTAATTTGCCTATCATAATTTAAGACGAACTTTTAAAAATAATTATTGTACTATTTCAGTTGAACAAACAACAATAATGCATACAGAAGATTTATCTTCAATCCAACTGGACCATGATTATGTGGCAGCCACATCAACCAATACATTAAGTAAGAATTAACCTTGTATTGCAGTTTCAATTTAACATTTAAAATTGTTTTCATGCATTTTTTTTTTAATTTGCCTATCATAATTTAAGAAAAACTTTTTTAAATAATTATTGTATTATTTCAGTTGACCAAACAACAATAATGCATACAGAAGATATATCTTCAATCCAACTGGACCATAATTACGTGGCAGCCACATCAACCTACTAATACAGTGGTATTCAAACTATGGGTCGCGACCCAAAATGGGGTCGCGAAAAGTTTTTTCGGGGTCGCAAGGTAGATGAAATAATTCCAAATAAATTTAGTAGAATACATACACATACATAATTTCCAACTTATTTGGGAAAAAATATTAGCTTCTAAAACGTATAATTTCATTTTAAATTTTTGATAAATTACTGTAATTTTAAAATCAACAAATTTTGAAAGAACTATATAAGGTGTGGGAAAAGTCAGTTAACTGCTATTAATAATTTATAGATAATTAATTAATAATCAGTAATTTATTGTAAATTTAGTCAAATTTAATCCTTTTTATTCATTTAATTTAATAAGTACAAACATTTTAATGCAATTTCATATTTTTTTATTAATATCGGTTAACTGACTTCTCGCACCCTGTATATGGAACGACGTCGCGTACAGCCGACCCAAAGTAGATTGGCCTGTGAAGGTCACTACTGCGCCGAAGTGGGAGTGCGACGGTTAATCGTTAAAGAGAGAGACGGTTCAACCGTTTGCCACTGCGCATCTGACCTTCACAGGCCAATCTACTTTGGGCCGGCAGTAATTCGTTTTCGGGGAATCACATGACTTGGCAAACAAGTTCAGCGTGGTGCATTTGCGAGTGTAGTTGTTATTTAGCAATAAAATTTCGTGTTTAACTTACAATTAGTACTTGTAATAAACGGACAACTTAACATACAAATTTCAAAATCATGGATAAGTGGCTAAAAACTGGTAAAATAATTGATAAAACAGACAATGGAGAAACAAATATCGAGAAGAGTTCTTCGATTTCGGTTGATTTATCTTCCGACACGGACCAAATACGTGCTGAAGCTTCTGTTTCCTCAGCGTAGACAAATAAAGAAGTAAAAGCAAACAAACGGGTTCGTAAGTTCGATGATGAGTTTATAAAATATGGTTTCGTATGTACTGAAGATGATGAACCAAAGGCTAGATGTGTAATGTGTCTGACAGTGCTGTCAAACGAGTCACTGAAACCAAATAAACTGCAGAGACACCTACACACGAAACACCCAGAATCCATAGGTAAACCCGTTGAATTTTTTCAGAAAAAAGTAGGTCATTTGAAATGTAAACAAAATTTTATGACTACTTTTACCGACGTCAACAAAAAAGCATTGGAGGCTTCATATCGAGTGAGCTATCGTATAGCAAAATCTGGCAAACCGTACACAATTGCTGAAGACTTAATTGCTCCAGCAGCCCAAGATATAACAGCCATTATGTTTGGCGAAAAGGAAATGCAATAAATATCTCAAATACCACTCTCGGATACAATTATTATAATATTTTGCTAGTCATTTATTGAAACATATTTGAAACATTTTTATTGACTGCGAAAATTCATTTGATTTCAAAACTAATTTTAATAATAAATATTTTAAATAAAACAAATTATTTTTTTTAATTAGTGATGACAAATTATGTGTTTATTTATTCAATTTAAGTAATTTTATTGATATTCCATGTAAAGTAAGTCAATGTCATTTTACAGGAAGAGTAAGGGAGTGTTTGTTGGAAAACGTTGGAGTTCGTACAGAAGTTGAATTAACTCCAAAAGCCAAATATTTATATAAAAGAGCTGTGGCCTACAAGAAGAAATTGCATCTACAACGAAAAAGATCTTTAAAACGTAAAAGAAATGTCTTCCCAAAGAGACTGGTTTTTGATCAGCCGATATCAAGTTTTGCTCGTGTAAGAAAGTCATTTTTTTTAAGTTAATATGACAATGAAGGTAGGCGGTTGCGTGGGAGAAGATCTCTTATGCTTCAAAATGGAAAAGGGTACAAGATGTTGGGAAACATTTTCACATTACCATCCCAACGAACAATTCTGCGATTGTTAAAAAACGTTCCTCTTCGACCAGGACTGTGCATACTTCTGTTTTAAATTTAATAGCAACAACAGTAAAATATTTTAGAAATAAAAGAGATAAATATTGTATTTTATTGTTTGATGAAATGAGTATGCAATCTCATTTGCAGTACAACACAACAGAAGAATTTGTTTATGGTTTTGAAGATTGCGGCTTGGAACGATCAGAAAAAATTGCTAATCATGTTCAAGTGAGTTTACTTGACAATTTTTTATAACTTAAATAAGAATAATAATACATACGATCTTAATTAATCTAGGTATTTATGCTTCGCGGTATTGCATCAAAATGGAAGCAACCAATCTATTTTAATTTTACTAAAAGTGCTACAAGTTATTTAAAAATTCGAGCCATAGTAAAAGAAATAGTAACAGCAGTTGACAAAGTTGGTTTACATATTATTGCAACTGTTTGTGACCAAAGACAAAATAATGCAAGCGCTATTAAATACTTGGTGCAAGAAACGAAAGACATGTATTTGAAACGCGGTCAAGAATTGTGTGATCATGTGTTTGAAATTGGCAATCAACAAATAATACCTTTGTTTGATGTTCCACATTTATTGAAAGGTGTTAGAAATAATTTGTTACAAGCAGATTTGTATTTTAAAAAGGATGGCGTTGATTATGTAAGTAGTACAATTTTGCTATTTATACATTACATGATTTTTAATTTTGTTAACATTCCGTAAGTCCAGATTTGTGTTACCCCATCCTCATTTTTACGCTATCACCAATTTAATTGTATAATTCATTTAAAATGTATCGAATTTTATTTTTATATTTTAAATTATTTTGGATGCATATAATACATTTTAATATATTAAAATGTGATAAAACAAGATAATTAAAAAATATCCGTCCAATATTTTCTAAACAATTTTTTGGACGTAATACAATATAATTGTAAGCTAATTTCTATGCATTTATTTATTGGAGTGTTTGTTTAAGGTTGCTAAATGGCAAGACATAATTAATGTATATAAAATGGATCCGCATATGGGAGAATTCAAAACCTGCTTACCAAATTAACGGATGAACATATCCTCCCTAATAAAATTAACAAGATGAAGGTTAGCAAATGTGCGCAAGTTTTAAGCAGAACTGTCGGTAAAGCGATTGGTCTTTATGTCAAATCAGGTAAACATATTATTTAAGCTTTAACATTTTTACTTACTTAATTTTTTTCTGTAAACTTTAGGATGGAGTGTAGAAGACCATCAATCAGATGGTAGTAAAATTTTACAATTGGAATTGTCTGCATTGGGAACGGCAGAATGCTGTTTATTCTTTGATAGTTTAATTCAAATTCAATTTAATTCAAATTCAATTTAATTCAAAATCTTTAAGGAAGGGCGTTAGCAGTTCTTCAGAACACCACGAATTTTGGAAACATGCGCGTACTATACTGGAGACCATGGAGAATCATTATTCGAATGGAAGACGATCAAGACCACCTTCTATTAAAAATTGTATTAAAACAATAAAAAACTTTCGTTTATACTGCCGAAAATTAATATCATTAAATTTTAAAGTGATATTCCCAAGAACTGCAAATCAAGATCCAGTTGAAAATTTCTTTGCAAAAGTTAGAATGGTGGGTTATAGAAATACCAATCCAACTGCGACACATTTCATGGATGTGTATCGGAGTATATTGCTACATGGAATGTCGTCTGCTCAATCTATTGGAAAAAACTGTGAAGATGATAATTCTGAGATGTTTCTAACATCAAAAAGATTTATTACACAGGTAATATTTGAATTTTTTCTTATATTTATATAAACTTCTGAAATAAAACTAGAACAAAAATACAGGGAAAGGTTAAGAGCTCCCACTCTCTAAAAGTAGCCTGACAAATCTCAATGATAGTTCTTCTAGTTTTAGTTCAGTTAACTTTGGCCGTGAAATGTTTTGTAATTATAATATAAACTACGTTAATTATTTTTTAGTCACCACAATCTCAGGCTAACGAAAAGCTGACTAACGAAACATTTTCAATTCGCAATGAATGTTTAGAATATCACCCAGCTAGAAAAGCAATTATTGGTTATGTTAGTGGGCATATTTTAAAGAAAATTTTGCCTGCATTAAAAGAATGTATTTTATGTAAATTCAATTTTGTTGAATTTGATGTACAATCATTGACGACTACAAATTCTTATTAGAGAAAGAGTATGATGCAAACAAAAAGAAAATCGTTTATGTTAGAAAAATGTTTGTGGAAAAATTGTACGATGCATATAAAATAATTTTATATGTATTAGCCCACCATCTGCATGAGAGAAATTTAAAAAGACGTATTATTAATACTGTTACTGAAATGGTGCAATTTAATTTGGAGATGTGTGAACATACAAACAGTGTGCTTAACAAAATATTAAATCATTTTGTTCAAATTGTTACCCATAATTATATAAAACAAATTAATTGTACCATGACTGGGAAAGAAAGCCGTTTATCAAGAAGACAATCAAAATATTTTCACCAGAGGAAATATCAGAGGACCAAACAGTTCCTCTGAAACAAAACTTGATGTTTCCAATGTTCTACAAAATCAAGTTTGAAGCCTTCATTCAAGAAACCTTCACCAAACAAGCCTTCACTCTTAATACTTTATTTGTATCAGTTATTTAGATAGATTATAATAATATGGTATATGTGATAGTTAGGATAGTCTCATAAGAGATTGTGGGCAGGGACCTTTATATATATATACATGCATTATAGGTCTGTACCTACGGGCTTATACATGCATGTTATGTATAATGACAAATATTATAATATAATGATGTTATAATGTAATTATAATACTTTATTTATTTAGTTTCTCAGATACTTAAAATACCATAGTAACATATTGTAAACACGGATTTTTATATATATACATACATTATAGCTTTATACATGGATTTATACCTGTATGTTATATACAGAGTGGCCCAAAATTCGCGCAACGCTAACACAAAATACGCATGCGCCGGTTTCACCCCACTAGTACAAGGTTAACCGTGTCAACCAGTTGTCCGTGTGTAGCTATGGCAGCCGGAGCGCGTTATCGGTTCACAATTGCGGAACGCGTGTTTTTAGTGAGCTCGTACTACCGTTATCATGCCGA